ATGAACAGTTCTAAACCAACGGTAGTGTTTATCGCAAGAATACTAAAAAAGATGCATTCTTAAAACAAATTTCCAGCTTTGAAGATTAAGTGACCTACTAAAGAACTTTCGGAAAACTGAAAGATAAGATCGAAAGCTCAGTTCTCTTCATTGCTCTTTAATTTATTCAATTCTCAAAAAACTCAATAAAGAAAGAAGAAACACTTTTGCATGCATCATGACAATCTGAAAATGCATCGTTTTCTGATAGCACCTTATCGTGTTTTGCAAATTTAATGAGGTCATCTCATTCTTTTTTTGCAAATAGCAGTTCATATAAAATCTAATGGTTAACAAAAAATTGGAAAACTTGGAAGTAAACAAAAATAATACTTCCATACCGGTATAAGAAGGTATAAACTATTAAGTATAGAATAATGGAAAATTATTCAAAAACAAAACATCATAGGTGGAGTAATATGAGGATAAATTATGTTTGATTGAGCGAAAGAATAGGTAACGAAAATCTCAAAAGATCGGCGGAGAATTTAGCAAGACTTCCAAAAAAAAGAGATCTAAAAAAGCAAAAATAGTGACTTACATGTTTGGAGCATCCATTATATTCACACCTTCGTAAAGCAATGAGCTTGGTGTGGCAACTTGACCTGAATTTGGTCGCTCTGTTGCTTTCTGAAAATGGCAATAGTACTGACAGCCATTTTTTACAAGTAGAAAAGCAGCAGAAAACATCAATGGCGGAGGATTAACAACATATGCTTTTCTAATACACTCACTTCAACCCACTCCTGTAACACTCTAGCTTTTCTCAGCACTTCGCTATCCAGTACAAAAGCTAGGAAATCGTCGATGCAACGTCGTCGTTCAGCAATTACTGATGGTTCACAGCTACCGAGCAGTCGAGGAGCGGCGAAATGGGGAAAAGCTCCACGTAAGTACAGCTGAATTAATCATAACCTAGCACTTCTCCTTGAGAACTAAAAACCCACTTGTTTATGTAGCTTGGAAAGACTGGCGTGTAACCGATTCAGTTCTCGAAATCTGGATGTGATGGTGAAAAATCGATCATCCAACTCGATGTTATTACGTGGAACACACTAAAACATATAAATGCGTATAAAAATGTTGCAGCGAAGAGCGAACTGGCATACAAATAACAAGTCCTTCCTAAATCAGTAAAAGTCCAGATAGCATTGAAAACTTAGAACCTAACGCAACATCCACTAATGAAGCTAATTGAAAATAACTTACTTTTATCTCGATCACATAGTCGGTGTGTGTACCAGTGATCTGCTTAACATCAGTAGCTTCGATCACTTTTCCTGTCACAGCCCATTCGTTCTTAGGTTGGAATAACAGACGTCCTATGTCAGTCGTGCAATAACTCTCATCAGGATATAGTGAAGACATTTGGCATACTGTAAATCACTGTAGAGCTAAGGGTATCTCCATACTTCATAAGGATCAGCCGATTCAGATCGGCCGACCCTTATAACGCTTAGCGCAATAAGAATCGGCCGATCGAGGGTGCGCAGCTGTTGCGTTGCGGCTCCCTGTTGAGTACCGATTTGGCGCGATTCGGCTCAATCCTAGCCTTTCCGCACTTTTTTCTTCCGATTTGACTCACTTTCTTTCTTCAGGTTGCGTTAGAGTTGTCAGAAGTCGTCAGCAAGTGTGCCGGAAAGATGAGAAGGGA